GAACAGGTTCGATGACAACATTTACTAAGCGCTACAAAGGGCAGGGAATTGTAGAGAGACATAATCGCCAACGTCCTGAAGGGGCACGGCACATAGAAGAGTGTTACCAATTCCACTTAATGGGAAAAGTTAAATAAATACAATTTTTGGAATAATAATGCACGCTTTTCAGTAGACGAGACACCGTGTGGGAAATCATTTTGTTATTTCTGTAAGCATTACAATACAATACATTACAATGCAATACGATACATTACATTACAATTACAATAATACAATACATTACATTACAATAATAATCATTCCTCTGTTTGTAATGTTGGAATGGACCTGTCGTTAACGGGGATAGTGGCTTCGCTAGGACAATGGCCCCTTAATTTGTTACTTTTCCATTATAATAATGGTTGTCCTCTCGTATTCAAGTATGCCTGTCTACTAGGGCTGCTAACCAATCCCTGTTGCACAGGAACATTTGTGTCGGTTAAAACCCCCACAGAACAAGTCTTTTGGTTTATACTGCAACTATGTTGAGTTGACCTTGGTAACAGTTTCTGTTAGAGGACGCATTATCTGGCGTGGCTAACAGTCTGAACAAAGCCAGTACACTCATTCCCTCGGTCACGATGACTTGCGACTTCGTTGCTAGCACAACCATCGAGGAACAATTCCGTAAGTTTAACTCACAAGGCTTGGATCAACTCGTGGTATGTTTGCCGTTTTTAGGCCTCTCTGCTGAAGTTATATCCATTTTGATTATGCTGAACAAATTTATTGAGAGTTACAAAGGATAGGAATTTGGGGAGAGTCATGATCGTCAATGTCCTGAAGGGACACGGCGCATAGAAGAATTACTCAAATTTTCTAAGAGTATTTCTAGCTTATAAAAAAAGACGTAATAAAATCCTGTATATCTAATGTCATTCACAATGATTGGATCAATCCGTGGTACGTTTTTCAGGTGCTTTCCAAAAGGTACCGTACGCTAGGGTCGTCTCCACAGGCCGACTTTCCTCATCAAACCCGGATCTCACGGTCGAACCCATTACTATTTCATTCCCCCACCCCCGTTAATTCACCTCTGGACTTTTGACATGGATACTGAATACTTGTTTTTGTTTTCAGGTTTGAGGCCCTCAAGTTACGAAAAGTGCCACGTTTTTTTGTTTGTTTTTTTTATTTATTTTTTTTACAATTAGATCTTTCATTTTTTTTTTCTTTTGAAAAGACGACACTGCTGTGCTATGGTGTAATGGTTAGCTCGGAGATACGAGTTCGAATTCCAGTCAAGTTCGTTACATCCCCTTACTGTAAAGTTATGAATCCATCTCTTCAAAGCTATCAATAAATAACAGGACAAACTGGGCACTATAGCCTTAGTTGGCAACCAGTCTAGAAAGAAACCGACTCTGGAGAGGTTTTGAGCTACGTCAGGCTATTTGCCCAATACACACCACCTCTGCCACAGTTGCAGTACATGTGGTGCTCCTACGATTAAGAGACTCGTGATCATGATCAAGAAACTAATTTATAATTTTTCAGTAACATTTCAATTCGTTCAAAATTCAATTTCATTATATTTCAGTTTATTCATAATATATAATATAAAATAAAATAAAATAATATAATAAGCTACTTACTGAAACCAACCACTACAATCTCAACGTGTTCAAGTCTAGCGTTAATATTTATCTTTCCCCCATATCCTCAGAAACTGCGCTTCTTACCTTTTACTCTTACCGCTTAAAGAGGAGTAAGACTTCTCAATCGAGGCAGGTAGATATTAGCTTCACTGTCTAAGTCACACCATCTAAAAAACAGGCTTAGAAACTCAAATACATGCATCCACTAAAAATAACGTTTATAATTATAATAAGTAAGAAATAATGCCGGAGCAAAATCCCTACACACACACACACACACACACACACACACATATATATATATATATATATATATATATATATATATATATATATATATATATATATATATAAATAATTAATGCATCGAGTCTGAAAGAAACCTCAACAGAATGCAGAAAGCACTGGACGGCCGTTTCGTCCTATATTTGGGACTCATCAGCAGTGCGGATCCACTACCGAGAATTGAAACCTTGACAGTTAGATTATCATGAAAACGTCTTAGCAACGGTTCCAACGGGCCTCGATATACACACACACGCCGACACACACGCCGACGCGCACACACACACACACGCCAACACACACGCCGACACACACGCCGACGCGCACACACACACACACACACACACACACACACACACACACACACACACACGTGTGTGTCAGTTTGTGTGTATATATTTATATATATATATACATACACACATATATATGTGTGTGTGTGTGGTGTATATACACACACACACACACACATATATATGTGTGTGTGTGTGTGTGTTTATATATATATATATATATATATATATATATATATATATATATATATATATATATATATATATATTCATTTGATTTACGAAAAAAAGTGGAATAAATGGTAATCCAACGTAAAGTATTCGGCAAAACGAAAATATTAAAACCATTTTTGACGACTGGCGTAAAAAACTACTACTACTAATAATAATAATAATAATAATAAGAAGAAGAAGAAACTGAAATTCAGAAAATGTGGCATTTTAAACCTCAGACAATCCCAATTCTTATTGATATACTCGGAACCATACCCCAAAATAATTAAAATTATGTTTTTTTCGACAATCTGGTAAAATAATTATAATACATACATACATAAAGATATACATTTTTATGAAATTTTAAATGTCTATACACAATCCAATGACATCAAAGAATTAAGAAAAATGATCCTATGTATGGGATTTTTACGTATCTATCCAAATATTTAATATATCAACAATCATGATCTGTTTACTTGCAGTCTCTTGAGTTTCACGTTGAAACTTGGAGGCAGTTCGTAAAACAAACAAGCAGCTTATTATTATTATTATTATTATTGTTGTTGTTGTTATTTTTTATTTGTCATTTATTTTTATTTTTTGTATTTATTTTAAACACTCTCCCAAAATCTACTCTGGTAGCAGTATTAAAACTCTGCGTGCTTCCAGACTAATCCTTTATAATAATAATAATAATTGGCTAATAATAGTATTAATACTGCGACTAGAGAAGATTATGGCTGGGTACTCGGGATAGATCCAAGGAACTTTGCAAAGAGTTGAGAAGAATTCGTAATGCGAGGAAGAATCGAAACCGTGAATTAAAAAAAAAAGGTAAATTGAGGTGAACGATGATGAATTGAGGTGACTTGCTCTCACTTGATCTCCAGAGTCATTTAGTTGAGTTTAAATAAGAAGGAGGAAAGAAAAAGTAAACAAAGAAGCAGAAAATCGTTTTTTTTTTACTATATTACGATTTCTTCTTCTTCTTCTTGATCTTCTTCTTCTTCTTCTTCTTCTTCTTCTTCTTCTTCTTCTTCTTCTTCTCCTCTTCCTCCTCCTCCTCCTTCTTCTTCTTCTTCTTCTTCTTCTTCTATGAACTTTCTTTATCTATGTATTGTAAAATGTGTGTTTTCCTGTGTTTTTCTTTTTTTACAAGTCATTTCTTGAGAACCGAGGGAAATGTGTACACACCAGAACTAAAAGGAAATACTACTACTACTACTACTACTACTAGTACTAATAATAATAATAATTATTATAATAATCAAAACCCGTACCCATCAGTGGCTGCTTAGTGCAGGGTTGAAAGCGGAAACTGAAGGTTTTATCCTTGCTGCACAGGACCAATGCTTGTTAACTAGGAATTATCAAGCACATATACTAAAATATTGTGTCAGCCCAAAATGCAGATTCTGTGATAAATATCCAGAAACGATTGATCATCTTGTATCAGGTTGCACGATATTGGCATCCACTGAATATAAAACCCAGCATAACACAGTGGGCCAATATCTGCACTGGAAAATCTGCAATTTCTACGAGAAGGAAACTGAAAGAAACTGGTATGAACACCACCCAGACCCGGTTACGGAGATAGGACCTGTTACAATTCTATGGGACTACACAATACACACTGACAGAACAATCAAAACCAACCGCCCAGATATTGTTATTAAAGACCACAAACAAAAACGGTGCCTCCTTATTGATATGGCAGTCCCTGCTGACTGCAATGTATCTTTGAAGATATTCAAAAAGCTGTCAAAAACAAGGACCTTGAAATAGAAATCTGAAAATGTGGCATATGGGAACATCAACAATCCCTGTTGTAGTTGGAGCCCTAGGACTGGTTAGAAAAGATTGCAGTAGACTAATTGAAGGGATTCCTGGAAGTCCATACCTCAAAGAGATACAAAAAATTGTTCTGACAAGTACAGCCCACACTTTACGAAGGGCTTTGTCTATGTAATTTTTTTTTTTTTTTTTGTCAATGGAAAGTGTCATGCTGCCATTTCTAACCTTAGGTCCCTGGGCGGGACCCGGAAAGAAATGTGTAAACGCCAGAAATCAAAGATAATAATAATAATAATAATAATAATAATAATAATAATAATAATAAAAATATCGCATTTTTACTATGTAACAATTTCTTATTTGTTGTTGTTGTTGTTGTTGTTGTTCTTCTTCTTCTTCTTCTTCTTCTTCTTCTTCTTCTTCTTCTTCTTCTTCTTCTATGAACTTTAAGAAAAGAACCTTTAAATTTTCAAAGAATTATTTTTCAAAGGACTCGGATTTTACATTTTTTTGTTTTGATTCTTGGACTAATTTTTTGTTGCGGTTGAAATGAAATCGAGAAAAAGCAAAAACAAAATAAAAAAATTGAAACGAAATCTTAAAATTCAGGCTGACTGCGAAAATAAGAAAGAAACGAAGGAAAAGAGGGAAAGAGGAGAAAAGAAATGGTAATGAAGAAGAAAGAGAAAAAGATGAAGAAGATGAAGAAGAAAAGATGCAAGAAAATAAGAAATGTGGAAGAATAAAAATAAATGTAGCAGAAAACGAAAACGAAGAGAAAATGTGGAAGAAGAAGAAGAAGAAGAAGAAGAAGAAGAATCCGTAGGGTGGGAAGAAGAAAAAGAAGAAGCAGGAGAAAGAGGGAGTATGATAAAAAGAAGCAGGAGAATGAGGGCAAGAAGAAGAAGAAGAAGAAGAAGAAGAAGAAGAAGAATCCGTAGGGTGGGAAGAAGAAAAAGAAGAAGCAGGAGAAAGAGGGAGTATGATAAAAAGAAGCAGGAGAATGAGGGCAAGAAGAAGAAGAAGAAGAAGAAGAAGAAGAAGAAGAACGTAGAGATTGGGAAGAAAAAAAAGAAGAAGCAGGAGAAAGAGGGAGTATGATAAAAAGAAGCAGGAGAATGAGGGCAAGAAGAAGAAGAAGAAGAAGAAGAAGAAGAAGAAGAAGAAGAAGAAGAAGAAGAAGAAGAAGAAGAATCCGTAGGGTGGGAAGAAGAAAAAGAAGAAGCAGGAGAAAGAGGGAGTATGATAAAAAGAAGCAGGAGAATGAGGGCAAGAAGAAGAAGAAGAAGAAGAAGAAGAAGAAGAAGAAGAAGTGGGACAATAAATGTGAATCAAAAAGAAGAAGAAAAGGTGGAAGAAGAAAAAGTGAAAGAAAAGGGTGGAGAGATGTGAGACAGAAATAAGAAAAATTGGAAGAGATAGAAAAAGAAGTAAAAGTGGAATAAAAAGAAGAGGAAGAAAGTGATGAAGAAGAGGAACAAAGAGAAATGGTGGAAGAAGAATGAGAAATCTGAAATAAAGAGAAAAATAAATGTAGAAGAAGGAAAAAAAGAAGAAAAAGAAAGGGTGGAAGAAAAGAGAAATACCTGTAGAAGAAGAAGAAGAAGAAGAAGAAGAAGAAGAAGAAGAAGAAGAAGGAGTAGTAGGAGGAAGGAGAAGAGGAGGAGGAGTAGGAGGAAGAAGTGGAGGAGGAGTAGGAGGAGGTGGAGGACGAGGAAGGTTCCGTGAGACAGAAAAATAAGGAGAAAGAAGACAAGGAAAAAATATGTTTGAATTTGAAAAGAATGAACAAATGCTGAAGATGGCGTTATCTTTTTTCCTTTTTTTCATGTGTGAAAAAAACCCTAATAAAAATGGATGAATAAAAGTCACTATTTCTCAAACGTTGTTTGCAAAGTCAAGATTTAGTGGTTCAACTTTAAAAATAATAAATAAAAGTAACATAAAAACTCAAAAAAATGAGTCCGTCTTCTTATTTGATACGGGGGTCTGCCAGACGTATAAATAAATAAATAAATTCTCAAAGAATACAACGGTTCCTCGTTCGGCGCACATCCAAAAATTAGAATTTTAATGCTTAAAGATAATTTTTTGAGTGGGTTAGGGGCTTCTTAGTCGATCAGACAACGTTTCAGTACCTCATCTCGAAGAAAAGTATAAAAACACAGTAAAAAAGAAAGAAAGAGTGAGGGAAACTAAGAGAGAGAGAGAGAGAGAGAGAGAGAGAGGGTGAATAAATGGAAGGCGTGAGAGAAAAGAAAAAAAGAGAAAGATGAAAGGGATGAACAGTGAGAATGTTGCTGAAAAGAGAGCGATAGGGTAAGAGGAAGAGAGAGAGAGAGATGACAGGAAAAGAAAAAGACAATTCGCTATATAGACAGATGTATAGAGGTATGTATAAACACACACATACATCTATCTATCTATCTATCTATCTATCTATCTATCTATCTCAGTCTGTTCATTATCTATCTATCTATCTATCTATCTATCTATCTATCTATCTATCTATCTATCTAACTATCTATCTCAGTCAGTTCATCATCTATCTATCTATCTATCTATCTATCTATCTATCTATCTATCTATCTATCTATCTAATAGGATCTCTGCTGACCCGCCTGCTTAAATTGACTAAATGATAAAAGATCAGAATTTGGGGGAATTCCATTTTAGCATAACGTCCTCCTCTTTGACTAAGTTAATTGTTTCACCGCAAAAATTTGAGGTAACCCCTGGTAATTTTTCAAATTGTTCCTAAAAACGTGGTTTTATACTTTAAATATTAGAAAATTATTAGACATGGTTAAAGAAAAAAGTGAGACATGATTTTTTGTTGTAAATTTTATTGTGACAAAAAGAAAAAAGCATTTTATGATTGAATTTTGCTCTCGTCAAAATATCCTCCTTAACTTTGATTACTGCAACACAAATTTGCAAAAGGTTTCTCGAAGTATAAGTTTGATAACTGATTCCATTCTTCTTTGACTCTTGGAGCTCTTTTTCATTTTCATTTTTGTTCTTCTGTCAAGTTCATCCCATACTAATTCTGTGGGTGGCTTCAAAATTTCAAATGTAGTATATATATATATATATATATATATATATATATATATATATATATATATATATATATATATATAATTATAGATAACTAACTCGTTTCGAAAAACCCTCGAATTTTTGATTTGCTAATAATCAAATCAATCTCGAAAAAAAAGGTTTAAAAAAAGAAAGAGCTACAAACATGAACTTCTGCCGACAAAAAAAATCGCACAGATGAAGGTCTGGTCCCAAAAAAAAAACCCCGATACGAGTAACAACTAACTAACAAAAGAGCTCAATACAACCGTAGAGCAGACCTAGATAAACCTAGTGAGCCAGACAAACCTACCCAGGTTTTACCTAAGCTTTCCCTGACGATTCGCTTGGGTGAAACCTGGGTAGGTTTGTCTGGCTTACTATGTTTGACTATATATATATATTAAATATGTGTTGCAGTTCAATTTATATTACAATGAATCATTCATACAAAAAGTAGATTTATAAAAGTTAATGGTATAAAACGGCGAAAATCCCTTCGAAGCGATTTCGCCATTTTTCATTAGCTTTACTAACCTATTTTTGTATATGATTCATAATATATATATATATATATATATATATATATATATATATATATATATATATATATATATATGGTGGTTTTAGGGACCTTGTGGTAATGTAGTGCACCAGGTATCTGTATTCGGCCCCTTCAAAAAGTGTGGATGGTCCCCAACGAAGCCTTCACCACTATAATCCAAATCATATGTGCTGGTGTCTGGCTGTCAGTTCCTAGGAACTGAACTGCTTAGCCCTCATACGTTGTATACATATACGTCAGAATATATATATATATATATATATATATATATATATGTGTGTGTGTGTGTGTGTGTGTGTGTGTGTGTGTGTGTGTTAAAAAAAGAAATATAATTGGGGAATAAGCCGTGAAGGTTTTTTTTTTAAAGTAAAAATCTTTTATAGGTGTTTTAGAACAACAATTTCTTATTGTTGTTCTAACATCTACATATATGAACGATTTTTGTTAATTTCATTACGTTTTGCTTCTATTTCAAACCCTAAAATGGAATGTCAAGTAAACAAAACTGCTCATTTTCGACACCTTTTTGCTTTTTGCCTATAATCGAGGAGTTAACGCCACCAAAGCAGCTTATGTGGTTTGTGATGTGTATGGAGATGGCGCAACACCTCAAAGTACCGCCGACGTTGTTTTTCACGCTTCAAAAAAGGAAATTTTGACCTGGAGGATGGGTAGCGCCCCGATCAACCAGTTGAGTTTGATATGGAACGATTAAACCAGTTTCTTCACGAAAATCCACGTTAGACGACCAGAGAATTGGCGGTACAGATGAATTGCGATCACAAAACTATGGTAAATCACCTTCAGTCAATGGGGAAGGTTTAGAAATTTGGTTCATGGGTGCCACACGCATTGAATGACCACAACAAGAATTTGGGCGCAACATGCGGTCATAAACTGCGTTTCCTTTATCACATTGTCAATGGTGACAAAAAATGGTGTCTTTACGTCAATATAAAGCAGTGCAAAGAATGGCTCAGCCCCAATAAGCAAGAGACACTTCGAGCTAAACAAGACCTTTATCCTGGAAAAACCATCTTGTGTGTATGGTAGGACTGGGAAGGTATAATTCGTTATGAATTTCTTGAGCGAAACCAAACGGTAAATGCCGAGCTCTACGTTCAACAATTGCACCTTCTCCGTGAAACAATTCAGAAAAAAAATAAAGACCGAATCGGTGACAGAGTATTCTTCTTCAACACGACAACGTCCGTCCTCACATTGCCAATATGACTAAAACCGTTATTCAAGAATTTGGATCGGAAGTGTTGCCTTATCCTCCGTAATTGCCAGACTTGGCACCATCAGATTTTCATCTTTTTCTATCTCTTTTCAATGTCTTACGTAATGTAACATTCAATAATTATATTGACTTGAGGGTTTGGTTCGACGAATTATTCGGCCCCAAACCAGAAGCTTTTTATCGTCAATGAATTGAAAAACTTTGTGACCGATGGGGAAAACTTATCAGCAGCAACGGAAATTACCTTCTTGACTAATTTTATGTAATTTAACATTGTAAGACCATGACGATAAAACGTTTTGAAAAACGCCCAATGACTTATTCTAATCAATATATATATATATATATATATATATATATATATATAAGGTTAAAGAAATAATTTAGACACTGTATCGAAGTCGGACACAGTAACTAACTGCGTTAATTGGTGACCATGCCGGTGACAAAAACGGACTTGCATCCACTGAAGGTGCTGTTGTCCGTTTGGTAGGATTGCAGAAGATAATTCTCTTTGAGTTCCTTTTTGCCGGGGAAACAATAATTGCAAAGAATTATTGCGACCAATCCAATCTCAATATGCTAATTCAAGAAAAACATTCAATTTTTGGCAAATAGAAAGGTGCCATTTTTAACCATGACAATGTAAGACAGACCTTGCAGAAGCTTAAAGAGTTGAAATGGGAAACCTTCCAGCATTTACCATATTCTCTTGACTTGGCTCCTTCAGATTTTCATTTGTTCCAATCTCTACAGAACAATTTAAATGACAAAAAATTGACTGTTGAAAACTACCTCACAAGTTTCATTCAACAAAAAAACTAAGGGAGACTATGTACTTGACTAACAAATGTTTTTTTTGTGAGTATACAAAATTTTGTTTTTAATTTTCTAATCAGGCACAAACTTTTGCAATGGTCTAAAATAAAAATGTATAAATCTCCAAAAATTAGGGACATTAGTTTATTTGGATTATGCTCCAGCTCTTCAGATGGTCAAAAAGTGGTTGGCTGATTTTGCCAATGTGATTTTAACCTAAATGATCAACCACATTTCAGGTAATCTTCCGACATTGAAGAAGATGCTCTGCATGCCATTGTGGAGAATAAACCAAAGATTTTGATGAAGAGACTATTAAGAGTGTTAAAATCAATATCTCAACTGCCTTTTGTCATTTAAAGAGACTTGTGTTCAAGAAAAATAGCCAATTTTTGGCAAATAGAAAAGGTGTCATTTTTCACCATGACAATGTAAGACAGACCTTGCAAGAAGCTTAAAAAGTTGAAATGGGAAACCTTCCAGCATTTACCATATTCTCTTGACTTGGCTCCTTCAGATTTTCATTTGTCCCAATCTCTACAGGACAACCAATGAAAAGCAAACAACACAAAAATAAAAATACCAGAATTTTTTTTTACATATCTCATTCTCTCACGAAGCTTTAATAAAAGCGAAACATGTTAGATTCACAACGTTTCCTATTTGTTCTTTATTATGTCATTCTGTCGGAATTTGCCCTCTATTTGATCCCAATTCATAAACACACGTGCTTATATATATATATATATATGATAAAAATATAATTTTAAGGTATGCTATATTTATGGGTTAAAGTGCTCAATATCAGTGATAGATCGTATGTCAATATAAAAGTAGACATTAAGGTCAACAATTAGCGATGACAATCTGTTTCATGCTTAAAAGCAATAGACAAGACATCTGTCATATATATATATATATATATATATATATATATATATATATATATATATATATATGTATGTGTGTGTGCGTGCGTGTGTATGAAAAATGGAAACATTTCATTCGAACTAGATTTTATAACGCGTTTTGCTTGCAAGGCTTCATCAGAGCCACAAATAAATGAAAGAAATGTGTGTCTGTATATTTGTGTGTCTGCTTAAATAATGAATCATTAATACT